TTAAAACATATGGTGCAATGGTTCAGGGATAACATCTGACAGCTCCTTCAGAACTCTGGGATCTGATAAACCGTCAGATCCCAATGATTTATATTTGTCAAGATCAGATAGGCGTTCTCTAAACATTTTCTTGCTTATCTTAATTTTTATTTTTGTTGCACGCCTTTGTTTATTCTGAGCCTTGGTTTTCCTGGCTTCATCTTTGCATATTTGGGCTATCTGCTGATATTCTGACTTAGTTATATGTCCTTCTTTCCATTTTTTGTACTTATCCTTTTTGTCTTTCAGTTTATCAGAGAGATCTTTGTGCAACCATGCTGGTTCCTTCTTGGATTTCTTTCTTTTTCACTGGTATTGTGCTGGACTGGGCTTTTATGATCATATTTTTCAGAGTTTTCCATGGTTCTTGAGTTGTTTTCCCCTTTAGGATTTTTATCCATGGAATTTTTCTTAGGCTGAGTTCGTTAAAATCTGCTCTTTTGAAGACACTGGCTGGATTATGTTCTATTGCTTATGTTTGCATTATATTGAATTCCAATATGACGTGGTCACCCTCGCCTAAAGTTCCAGCAACTTCAACTCCCTCTATCACTTCTTCTCTATTTGTAAGAATTAAGTCTAGTATAGCTTTTCCTCTAGTTGCCTCTTCTACCTTTTGGTTGACACAGTTGTTAGCTAGGTTGGTTAGGAATATGTTTGATCTCCCACATGCTCCAGAGTTTGTCTCCCAGTTGGTATCAGAGTAGTTAAAATCTCCCATTGCTACTGTAGTATATTTCCTACATACATTTGTTAGTTGTTTAGCAAAGAGTTCATCTATTTCTTCTGCTTGGTTGGCTGGCCTGTAGTATACGTCTATAGCAGCGTCGTTCTTTTTTTCTTTTATATTGACCCATATGGATTCTAGGAGATTTTCATCCTTGGTTTTGGTTTTGTGGATTTCTGTAAAGATATAGTGATCTTTTATATATAATGCAACTCCATCTCCTCTTTTGTTGGGTCTGTTTCTTTTGAATGGCTTGTATCCTTCCATCAGTGCATTCCAGTCATGAGTTTCATCTCATTACGGGTTTCAGTGATGGCAACTCTATTTGAACAAAAACAAGGTGCTCTGTTTTTCACCCCACGGTGGGCAGGGGGGGCTCCTTGGGGGTCCCAGCCGCTGAGGATGCATGTTGCCCTTTGCCAGAGATGGAAACTGCCTCCTCGTCCAGGCTGGTTGGAGCATCAAGGTTGGGAACCCAGGTTTGCTAAAAAGGGGCACAGCGCCTGGACAGAACGGGCAGCGCCTAGAAAGCACACAGTTGATCTTCTGTTCCTCATTAGCCACCCCGATCAAAATGTCTGTGTGGTGTTTACATGGTGTCTGTTGAACACGTGTGTGTCGGGTAGACCTTCTTGGCAAAGGAAGGGAATGTCCACTTTTAGCCGGTTTACTAGCCGGTGTTGATGCTCCCTTTCTGAGCCTTTGAGTGCTTGACCTAGGGTCAAATTGGAACCAGACTTTCTGTTGCAACGCCAGGTGGTTCTGAAGTGAGTCACAGCCCAATTTTATGACTTTTTTGCCACGGCTGTTATCTTCAGTTGTTAAGCGAATCATGCAGTTGTTAATTGATTTTGCTTGCCAAAAGCTGGCTGGGAAGGTCACAAATGGCAATCAAGTGTCCCCAGAACACCGCAACTGCCCTCAATACAGGCCGGTTGCCAAATGGCCAAATTTTGATCAGGTGACCCTGAGGATGCTGTGACTGTTGCATGAGGACCAATTGTAAGTGCTGTTGTAACTTTGAACAGTCATTAAATGAATGGTTGCAACTCTGAGACATCGTATTGATGGGAGTTTGCGCAAGGCCAAGAGATGCCCCCTTTAAAACTCACCCCCTTTTTGCAGGAAGGGGTTGGATGGGGAAGCTGGGTTTTTCCCACCCACCCCTCTTTCGGGGCAAAGCCAATCCCCACCCTGGAGGGGAGGCAAAGAAATGGTCTCTCTCGTGTAACCGTCCCTGCTCTGCATTCTCTCCTCCAGGGGCTGAGTTGCAGACTTGCTCTGCTTATTGTGGCTTCGTGTGCAAAGCGGAGAACGTCTAGCCCCTGAAGCATCCCAGGGAAACCCAACCATGGGGCTGTTCACACATCAGCTGTGCCTAAAATAAGCCGCCCACGTCACTCTTGGCTTCAGGCCCCAGTCGGTGGAAGGGCTGCCTGCTTGCCTGTGGCCTCTGCTTTGGGCAACCAGGGCTGGGCCCGGGGCACGGGGAATGGAATTGAGCCTGACCTGGGGACAGTAGAGCAGCTATTTGTGAGGCGGCCGAGGGCCCAGGCGCAACCCCAGGATGCCCGTGAAAGGGGCCCCTTCCGCCCCCTTGTAATCCAGGTGCGCATCGCATTCCAGGGCTGAAGGTTTGCACCCTCCCCATATTTGCCCTGCTGTTGAACCCCTGGGAAGCTCCCCCCTTGCCTTAAGGCTGGAAGAAAGCAGGTGGGTGAATGCGAGCTTTGCTTAGTTGGAGGGTGGGCACACCTGGGCGTGCAATCAAAACCGTACATGCTGAGACGGGACTCGCTGGCTTCTGCCCTAGATGTTATTCTCCAGGAAGGCTCCTGGAAATAAGCCAACCCTCTTATCATCGAGGTTGCCATCTTCTGACAAGGCAAAATTGCCCCTTGCTGTGCCTGGACATCCTGGCCCTTTTCTCCGCAGATGGAAATGGGATGCCAGCCTTTGGGCCTCCAGCTGGCCGGAGACGAGCTTCCTCTCGCTTCCCTTGAGCAGGAGGGGCAGGCACAGTGGCCGTGGACAACCCTCTTGCTTGCTGACTAGCACCGCAGGGCCGGTGGTCTGGAGGGTGGCGGCAGGTGGGGGCCCAAACATGGGCCAGCTGCAAGCAGCAGCAAGTAGCAGCCGGATCCGTAGAGGTTTGGGTTCAGGGTTAATCCTGCTTTCATCTAGGCAGCTCCTGCTCTTACCACTGGACCGGGCACCCCCGTGGCAGCCCACTCTGCTGCCCTTGCCCAGGGAAAGATGGCAAGGCTCCCTTGAGGGGCACCCCTTCCCACTGGCCAGGCAGGCGGTCTGGACCACCTCTGTGGTCTGGACAGGCAGCCGGTCAGCCAAGAAGCTTCCTCCGAGTGCCAGGTCTGGCAGGGAGGTTGGCATTCTCAGCTGCTTTGCAACTCGACCTTGTTTTCTCAGAGGACCGACTGGGCAGCACTTGGTCGCCCCCCCCCCCATCAGTGGGTTTGTCCTCACTAAATGTGCCCGGTGGGCAGGAGGGCAAGGCAGGCTGTTCAGTTGGCCGGGCATTGGCAGGCGTGGTACATGACGCACTGTACCTCCCCTCCCCCACACCTGATTAAGTAAGTTGTGTGACTCAGGCCTGTGCTGTGGTGGGGAGGAGAGAATCCAGCACTGACCCTCCCATTTGGGGAGCTGCAATTGATGTAACCAGGGGCTTTGCTGGGCATTCCAGAGCAGTCTCTGCCCCCCTGCCCTCCTGGCTGCTGCCTCTGTGCCCCTGGCAAGAGGTTCTGCTGGCCACTCAGTTGAAGACTGTACCTGAACAGCTGGGGGGGGGGCTTATGGGACCCTGGTTTGGATTGTCCCTCCCCCAAAGGGTTTTTAGGAAAATGGTTGCAGGTGGGTGGTTTGATTTGATCTTAATTTTGCAAGGCAGCATAAAAATTTGGTAATTTCACGTGCTGCGCAGCACAGTGTTGGTTGCAGAAAGTGGACATTTCCAAAAGAAGAACTGATTTGCTTGGTTACTGCGTTCATGCTTTTAAAATACTGAATTTTTGATGTGCCTTCTGGTCTATGTTAAAGTGACTTTCCTCCTGCCTTAAAATAGGTCATTTAGTCTGATGCTCTGCAGCTGCAGAGGGAGATTCTTGCACCATGTCAGAGATGACCCAACGGATCGTGGCCACACTGCCCCCCCCAATGTTGGAAGGGGAGATGCTCTACAAATGCTCTCTATTTCTACACATCCTCACTGATGCCCCTGCAGCGGGGCTGACATGTGGGTGTCGGTGGGGGCGTGGGGGGACCATTGCTGCTGCTCTGGGCTGATGTGGGTCACAGTCAAGACGGCCGGCTCCTCCCTTGGTCACCAGCCACCCCCACCCTGGATGCCTCCCTGGAGGCCCATCAGCACAAAACAGCAGGCAGGCAAAATGTCAGGCCCCGATGCAGTGTGTCTCTGTGTGTGCCTTTACAGGCTCATCTTGGGATGGGTGGGTGTTCTTTATGCCTGTGAAGACCACCCCACCCCCGCCCCACATGCTCCTTCAGCTGAGCCTGGACTGTCGACCCAAACCAGCTCCCCCCAAGCCCCAGGTGCCCAGGCTCTGTCCTCTGTGGGTGTGCGTTGGTGTATGTGTGTGTTACATACTGAGGCTGGATGTTTTGAACCCCTGAAAGGTACCCAGCAGCTTTTAGTTGCGTGGGGCGGAGGCAGGTGGAGCTGGCCTAGGGAATCAGCCCCCCCCCCCCGTCGAAATGCATGTCTCCCTATACATAGCCTGAGCTAACTGAATCGGAGCGAGGCCTGGGTGCTCTGAATGGAGACGACTGGGATACTGGGATTCTCCTTTGGGTTTCACTCCCTTCCCAGGGGGCCATTTTCACCCCCCCCCCAGATGGGCTGAGGGTCAGGAAACGCTGGCCTCCTGCTGGAGCTTCACGCGTGGTTCCTGCATTGGGCCCCACCGCCAAGAACATGGATGGAACCTCTCAGAATGTGCAAAGGGTGAAATTGGGGAGAAATTGTGGTGAAAGAGGTTTTCATGGCATTCTTGATTATGAGGCCTGTTGTGGCCTCTGATGCTTCTGTGCCCCACGTTGCTACACTGAGCCTCTCCCCCCATTGCAAAAATAGGCCTCTCTAACACGCCACGGACTCCTCTTTCCTTCCGGTTTGAGAGGAGGGTGTTTGGGGTCGGAAGGTGGGAGCCTCGGAAACGCCCCCCTTCTCAACGGGCTTCCTTTCTTTGCTCGACAGATTTTTCCGTCCAAGTGAATTCGACTTCCTTAAGTTCTCCGGCCGGCCGGGGGGGCCCTATGGCCACGCCTGCCCTCCACCCCTCCATGGGGCCCAGCCTCGGGGGCCCCTTGGGGTCACCCGGCCAGCTCCACTCGCCCATCAACGGCATGGGGCCGCCCTTCTCCGTCATCAGCTCCCCGATGGGGCCTCATGCCATGTCTGGACCGTCCACCCCCAGCCTCGGATTCGGAGCTGGCAGCCCGCAGGTGAGTCCCCGGCTGGCTGGCTGAGTTGGGGGGAGGGGGGATTTGGAGGGGCTGCTGCGGCCAGTTCCATTCCGAAGGCTGTGGGGGAGGGGGAGTTGCTTAGCCCCCCCACCCCACTTTTGCTTCAGGTTGCATGTGCCACCTGAGTCCTCTCCACCTTCATTTCTTGGTGGTGGTGGTGGGAGGACCCACTTTTGGTCTTCTTGGTGTAGATTTTCTGTGGAATATATTAAATATTAAGAACACGTAACTGGGAGGTTCTTAGCAAAACATGCAGGACTGAACGTGCCTTTCATTGGATAAGAATAAACAGGCACCATTGCTGCCCACTGGAGGACATGCTGTGTGTCCTTCCTAGGACTTTCCCCCATAAGTGGCACATTGAGCATCGTGTGGGGAGGTGGGGTTATAGCCTGACGCATCTGGCACCATCTCTCTCTCTTTCTCTCTCCCTCTGCACCCACTGCAGGGAAGACCTCCTTGTCTGGGGGCCTCTCCTGCAGATGTCTGGGGGTGTGTTGTGTTTCTTCAGAGAAAATGTGCCCTTGCTGAAGATGATGAAGGAGGCTGTGTGAATGGAGGCCTCCTGCAGTGTGCCCAAGCTGCAGCCCCTTGGCTTCCCACCCCGAAGCAGCTGGTGCAGGTTCCGGCTGCTTGTCCTCCCCCTGAGTGGGGGAGGGGCCCAAGGGGCCTGGGCTCCGCTGGAGGGCCAGGGGGCCCTTTCCTCCCCTGGGATATAGCAGGTCCTGCTGGCCAGGCGGAGCTGAGGGTGATGTTTTCCAGGGCAGAAACGCTGCCCTGCAGAGACCAAACCGGATGCCCCCTGTGCCTGGCGCGGTAGCTGGGCTCCCCTTGGCACATTCAGGCAGGGGAGGGGTGGCCCAGCAGGGGAGGCCAGGAGGCCCCAAATGTTGCTTGGCCTTGCTGATTCACAGAGGGGGGGGGGGCTGGGCTGAGGCAAGGGGGCTCAAGGCAGCGGCTTCCTGCAGGCTGAGGGCCCAACCCCCTTCCAAGTGGGGTCTCTTGTTTGTTGCAAGGAGGCTGGAGAGATGTGGGGAGGTGCCTGGTTGTGCCCTACATTTCCCCATCCCCCACATGATTTTCTGTGCCCTTCTGGAGGGAGAACCGGAAGTTCAGTTTGGCTGAGGTCCAGTGCAGGGCCTCTGGCCGAGACGGGCAACCTCACGCATGGCCTGGTTCAGCCTACAGAGATGGTGAAGAGCTCTGTTGTTGAGGGCAGGTGGCTTCTGAGCATGCACAGAAGGCTTTCCCAGATGGCCTGCATGGCAGTGGGAGAAGGAGTGACTTTGGGGATTGCTGCATTCAAGTGCTGTCCACCTTGGTCCACCCTTAAATGCTACTGTGGCTCAAGAAGGAGAAAGGGGGGGGCATTTCCTTAACCTCCCTGAAAAAGCAGCCTGGGGCATCCAGACACGGGGAGGGGGGTTTGATGTTGGGCAACTCAGGGCTGTTTAATGGAGTGCTGTTGTGTGATTGGGATGGCTTAGGGAGCTTCTGAGCCTGCTGTGACATCACAGCAGTTCAGCCAATGGCTGCGGGCCAGAGAAGCCCAGCGATTGGCTCTTTGGTTTGTCGTGGACTTTCCTTTCCAGGAGGAGAAGCTGAACAGGATGCAGGGGGGGCCAGCCTGGATAGTTCCTCCCCAGGGTCAGAGGGGGAGCACTGAGGTCGGGGGGGGGGCAGGTAGCCCAGGGGCTGTGAAAGTCACCCACCCTCAGGGGGTTCAGCTTTATTCGGTGGGGTCGGTGAGAGGGGCTGCTTTCCTCCCCTTCCCCCCCCCCGGAAGGGCTTTGCCTTCAGTCCATCCTCCGGCCTGGTGCTGCAATGCAAAGACCGAAAATGAACCAGCTGAGGGAGGCTGGACTCCCCATATCTTGACCGCACCCAGGGACTCCAGGAGGGGGGCCTGCCCACCCCATGGCCCTTTTCTTCCCTCCCCTCCTTGACTCGCCCGCCCTCCTCCTCCTCTCTGCCCTCCGGCAGAGGAACCCAGCATGGGGGGGGGGGAGGAGAGCGAGGGGAGATGGGAGTGGGCACCTGTCCAGGGAGAGGGTCTCCCTCCCAACCTCCCTCCCTCCCCTGGGCCCACCAGGCGGTGTGTGAATGAAGTGTGTGCCCCATCACTGGTGGGAGGCGCCCAGCCGCTGGCCATCCACCTCAGCTGCTTCATTGGATGCTCAGACCCAGAGGATGGTGAGGGGGGCTGCCTTGGCCCTCCCCTCCCCCCACGACGTGGGAGTTAAATGGGTTTCATCACATGGTACAATTGGGGGCCATCTTGCTGTTTCCCATTGAACTGGTGCCCATAATCTGTGCCCTGTGATAGAAAATGTTTTGGGGAGCATCTCCTGGCCTGTTTTTATGCTAAAAGGGCACGGTGGCTCAGCAGTTAAGACTCTGGACTTGTGGGCCGGAAAGCCGGCAGCCCAGGTGGGAGACCCGACCGTCACCTGATGGGGAGAGCTCCCATTCCTTGGCCCAGGTCCCGCCAACCTTTGTTTGTAAGCACGCAAATGAAGCACGTAAATAGATACCAATTGGAGGGGAAGGTAACGGCGCTCTGTGACGTCATGCTGGCCACACGACTGCGGACATGTCTTCGGACAGCACTGAAATGGAGATGAGCCCCACGCCGCATAGTCAGCAATGACGGGCGGAGTAAAATGCGCCGGGACTCCTTTCCTCTGCCTTTTGACCTGTCCTTTTTTATGCTAAGGAAGTGGTTGCCTGTGAAGTGCACACCTCTGTCCGTTATCTTTTTCCTTTGCAACGGGTATAATCGTGCAGAATAATGTTCCAATTTTGCTAACTGAGGGGGGGTCTCCTCTCTCTTCAGGACTGCTACCCCCCAGATGCTTCCTGCTCAGTTTCCAGCCTATCTAGGCAGCCTTATTGCTCAGAGCCTGACCTGCCGAAGATCAGTCTCAATACAGGGTGCATCGTTCTTAGAAACACAGGTGTGGCGGTCAGGGCCAGCTCTCTCGCCATTTAGGTAGGAGGTCTGAGGTCTCCTCTTTTCAGGACTGTTACCCCCCAGATGCTTCCTGCTCAGTTTCCAGCCTATCTAGGCAGCCTTATTGCTCAGAGGCTGACCTGCCGAAGATCAGTCTCAATACAGGGTGCATCGTTCTTAGAAACACAGGTGTGGCGGTCAGGGCCAGCTCTCTCGCCGTTTAGGTAGGAGGTCTGAGGACTGAACTGCTCATTTATGTAAAGAAGCTCATCCAATCTTTGGCTGCGGAGCTGACTGACCAGCCAACACCCCCCCTTCCTTTGCCCACTCACTCCAGGGGCACCACTGCTGCGCCTCTTGCTGTAAAGACCCACCCCACTTTGCATCTTAAGAAGACAGAATTCTTGGAATAATTCTTCCAACAGGAATCCTTTATCAAGAAAAAGTGATTGCAGGCGTGCTAGACAGGACTTGGGGTTCAAGCTCTCCCATTCGAGGTTTTAAGGGGTTCCCCAGTAGTCCCACCCAATCACCCCCCCTTCCAGTGATAGTTTCAGGTATCACAATCCCACCCCCTTTTCTCCTTTCTTCCGTCTGGATGGAGACTTCAGATAAACTACATGAAAGGTAAATAGCCTCCTTTGTTATGATAAGGTCTTTTGGTGCTAACCACATTCAAACCCTTTGAAGTTGTACTGAAGGAAGTGAGGGCCATAAAGCCCCTTTGTTCACCCCCCTTCCCCTTCATTGTATGACAGAATCCAGAGAGGGCAGAAATGGGGTTTTCTATAATTAATAATTGGAGATGAAGTATAATTGGATTCTGACACTTGCCCTGTTCGGGTCAGAAGCTCAAGCTTGGAGCAGGCGGGTTGGAGCAGCCCTGGTGGCTCCCCCATTGACTCCTTCACTGCCCTCTTTGCCCTCCACCCAGTGGGTTGGGCAGCCTTCCTGGCTCCCTCCCTGCCCCCTCGCTGCACCCCCCCAGTGTTGGCCAGACAGAGGTTTCCTCTCCTTTCTGAAGAACTTTGTACTACTACTCCCAGGGAGCAAGGGGAATCGTGCCACGTGCCAGACACATTTTGCTCGTTGTCTCCTGGAGTTGGGCAGCTCATCCATTTAAATAAATAGCTCTACAAGCAAGTTCCAGATAATTCCCTCTGACAAGAGCCAGAAGCGGGCAAGGCTCAGGGACACCAGATAGTGCCAGGGAAAAGGGCAGTTGCACATCGCCCAGAGGATGCACAGACCAGTCGTGCAAGCCAGACAGGCTGGCACCATCTTTGGAGATACCAGTCCATGGGGCGCAGTGTCCTTTTCATGGCTTTGACTGCACAAATACATCCACAATTGTCCTGCACATTAGGGACGCATCTAAAAATTGGGCTTCCACGTGCTGCGAAGGCCTCCAGCGTTGGATCCCTTTGAGCAAGACAGGCATCCGTGGGCCGGAGGGGAGGGGGGCACTGCTGGGACGCCTCTTCCTGCCCTTCTGCGCCCAAGGAGGCCTCTCCCCTTTGCCCGGGACTTCTTTTTGGACCACCTCTTCAGGTGGGCCAGCTGGAGGTCTTCAGTTCAGACCAAACCCGGAAAGAAGAATGAGAAATGAGATGAATCCAAGCCAGAAAGATCCTTTGGAGGACCTCCTGAGGGGAAACTGCAAGGGCTGCTGGCAGAGTGGGGAGCCTGAAGAGACCAAACCAGAAACCCCAAAATGTCTGTCCAGGAAGCTCCTCTCAGCCGGCCGTAACTCTGGGCTTTCCGGCTTCCAGCCCCCTCCCCACCTTCCCCAGCAGGTGGGCTGCCTGTCCCCCACACCCCATGTGTGAGCACCTCGCATCAGTGTCTGAAAGCCTCACCCTGAGAGGCCGCAGGGAAACGCTGCTGGAAATACGGACTCCCCCAGCCCCTCCCCCACTTCATTAGGGTGCTGGAGAGGGTCTTTTCTGGAAGTGGGTGGGGGTCTCTGCAGTGCAACCTGCTAGGGCTTTGCCTAACAGATGGGGCAGCCATGTGGCAGCCTGGCTGCTCTGGAGACCCTTCTGTTTCCCTTGAGGAAAGAGGGGTCCTAAACCTCCCCCCAGAGGAAGGGATCCCAAGTGGAAGAGCCCCACGGCCCAGAAGGGTCTCTCCATCTTTGCTCGGGCCCTCTTCCGGGGGGGGGGGAGAAAGATTTTGCTGATGGAAGGGGGGAGGGGGGCAGTTACCCCTTCTTCACAGGGGAATTTGAGGCTCCCCTGGGAGGCCTCTTGAGGGGAAGAGCAGCCCTGGTCTTGCTCGGGGTCTGAGTGTGTGTCGAGACTGGACACCCGTCTTCTCACCCCCTCCGCTGGGTCCTCCCCCTGGGCACCCTGGCACCGCACGAGTGGGAGAGGAGAGCTGCTGGCGCCTGGTGGGGAGGAAGGAAGCCAAGTGGCGCCAGGCTGGGCCAAAAGGGGAACCCCTGGTGCTTGTGGGGGTGTCCCCTCTGGAAGCTCTGACTCAGCAGCTGCTCCCGTGAGCATCAGGGCAGGCCGGGCAGAAAAGCAGCCCCCCCCCACATGTCCTTCTCTCTGTCTCCTCCAGTGGAGCATCTCCCCCGAGCCCCCTTCACCCCGCCCCTAGAGAGGCCTTCCGTGGAGCTTTGTGGGGTGACAGATGCAGGGAGGGTGGGAGCGGAGGGTCTCCTCGCTGGCCAGAGTCCCCCCAGGTCAGAAGCTCTTTTGTGCTCTTCACCCCACAGGCTCCCCTGGACTGGCATGCAGAGGGTGGGGAGAGCCTCCTGGGTTTAGTGGAGGGGGGGTGTCTCGTGTTCAGGCATAGCAAATGCATGCTGGTGCTTCGAAGGTTAATGAGACAATTGAGAGCCGAGATGGTGCAGCAGTTAGAGTGCAGTACTGCAGGCCACTTTAGCTAACTGTGTTCAGCAGGTCAGCGGTTCAAATCTCACCGGCTCAAGGTTGACTCAGCCTTCCATCCTTCCGGGGTAGGTCAAATGAGGACCCAGATTGTTGGGGGCAATGTAAATATCTATATATATATATACATTGCTTACTGGTGTACACCGCTTAGAGCAGTGGTTCTCAACCTGTGGGTCGGGACCCCATTTGGGGTCGAACGGCCATTTCACGGGGGTCGCCAAACAAGGCTGTCCACCATTTTTTCCCTGTTTTCTTTGGCCACGCCCCTGGCACCCGCTGATGTATAAGTGGTTGGGGGTCACCACAACATGGGGAACTGTATTATGGGGTCGCGGCATTAGAAAGGTTGAGAACCACTGGCTTAGAGAGTGCTTGCACTTAAAGCGGTATATAAGTCTCATAAATAAATAAATAATAAATAAATTGCTTTGGGCTTTAAGGATTATCTGATATCTCAGAATTCTGTATTGTTCCTACAGCATCTTGAAATATGTTGGTTCTTTCATGAGACTCGAAGGGGATTAGGCTGCTTCTCTGCCCTTCCCAGTCCTACCAAGGGCCTCGCTAAGACTGCCCTTGCTTGAACACTTGCTTGAATAATGTTCATTGGAAACCCAAACAGCTGCTGCCGCTGCTGGGCCCCACTTCCCACCAGACTCCAGGAAGTGGGGAAGGGCCCTGGGAACAGACACCCCTGTCTCTCTGGCAGCTGAGCTGAGTGAGCGGGGAATTTTGCAGGAGGAAGGAAGGAAGCAGCCGTGGGAAGAGCAGCCATGTCTTCACTGGGGATACTTGGCTCTGCCCAAGCACTGCTGCCCACGCCCACCACCCAGCAGCCAGGGAGGCACGTTGGGGCCCCACGTGTTTGCACACAAAGGAAAGCAGCAGGCGAGATCTCCCCCTTTGGAGCCTGCGCATCTCCAGGCCTCTGGCTTCCCCCGAGGGGCCGGGCTCCTGCTTGACTCCTGCAGTGAAAGCGCCCCAGAAGAGCAAGAACAGCAGCACTTGCACGGGACACCCCGCTTTCCTTTCTGTGCTTGCTTACCTGCTGATGCAAGCTCTTGAAGAGCTCTCGCCCTTGAAGAGCGTTCGGAGGCTGCAGTTGGTTCAGAACGCAGCCGCGAGAGTGATTGTGGGCGCGCCAAGGTACGCCCACGTGTCACCTATCCTCCGCGAGCTGCAATGGCTTCCTGTGGGTCTCCGGACGCAATTCAAGGTGTTGGTTATCACCTTTAAATCCCTTCATGGCTTAGGACCAGGTTACTTACAGGACCGCATTCTGCCGCACAGTTCCCAGAGACCGGTGAGGTCCCACAGATTGGGCCTCCTTCATGTCCCGTCGGCCAGACAATGTCGGCTGGCGGGCCCTCGGGGAAGGGCCTTTTCTGTGGTGGCTCCGACCTGGTGGAATCAACTTCCCCCCGAGGTTCGAACTACTCCCACCCTGCTGGCCTTTAAGAAAGCCATTTAAAACTCTCCTGTTCTGGCAGGCCTGGGGCTGATGTCCCCGGGGGGCCGGGATATGATCGGACTCGCGGTATGACTGTTTTATTTTATTGTTTTATCATTGTTTTAACTTTGTACGGCGTCCTGAGTCCTTTGGGATTGGGTGGCATATAAATATTTGAAAATAAATAAATAAATAAATTTGGGGTTCCCAGAGGATCCGGGCTATGGGGACTGCCTTCCGTTGGTCTTCGCCCTGCATTTCAGGAGAGACGGCATTTCCCAGAAGGTGGGCTGGGGGGAGCAGGAGAGGGTCCGCAGCTGATTGGCCGTGCTGAACGTTGCACTGCGCACTCCCCTGACCGGCTGGATTGGGGCTGCACGCTCAGCCCCAGCCCTGCAGGAGAGCTGCAGCCACAAGCAATGCCTGCCTAATTCAGCTGCTCCATCTTAATTTTTCTGGTTTCTGAGCTTTTGTGCCAGACCTCCCCATATCTGACCCAGTTTTGCAGTTTGGGCTTTTTGACTTGGGGGCTTTGCATAAGATGAACTGCCTGCTGTCCCTGCGTCCAGCACCAGGCCATGAAGCTGCTCCCGGACCCAGACCGGAACCCCCAGCCAGGAGCTGCCAGCCGGGGGAGTGGAGGGCTGGAGCCCAAGAGGTTTTATGGCGGAGCCCTTCAGGCATGGGTGGGACAGGAGAGGCCTGTGGGGAGAAGATCAGGTCACCTGCCTTGGGAATTTTGACTGAGACCAGGAGTGGCGGGATAAATGGAACCAACCTAATAAATGCGTTTTCATAGAAATGCGATTCGTGTTACTGAAAGAAATAAGGAATATTTAATACAAATCTACTCCTAAGCTCTTTTAGCTGAATCTGTCTGCAGTGTTGGTTTCATGTGATGGGGGGAAGGGGAAGAAGAATCCTGGCCTTTTGGCACGGGACCAGCCCAGTCAGGAGGTCTCCCTTCAGCCTGGGCAGAGCAGGGGGGGGGGGGCTGAGGTTTTCCCTTCCTCTTTTGTGGCGGGAAGAGCCGATTCTCACTTCCCAAACGGGCAGGGGAGCCAGGAGATCGGATTCTGCTGAGGGCCGCATTTTTCGAGAGACAACAGGGCGGTGAAAAAAAGCTCACAAGCCACATTAGATCTGGGAAAATTCCTTGGGAAAATGTGAAAGTGGAGATGCAAACACGCATTAGAAGAAAGCGCTTGAAAAGATGCACGGTGCCAACTGGGGTGGACATCAGGAAAATGAAAAGTGGGGTCAGCGCAGAAAGGGCAGGAAGTGTCTCCCCTCCCCAATTTGCATGAGCAAAGCTGTTCACAATGAAGAGGCTGAAATGGATGCCCCTCCTCAGCCTCAGCCCACTGAGAAGTCACTCCTCCAAGGACTCTGTGTGTGTGTGTGTGTGTGTGTGTGTGTGTGTGTGTGTGTGTTGCTGGGTGCTTTGGGATCAGCCAGGCCTCCCTCTTTAGGTGGGCGTTCCATTCTGAAGCTGCCATTCAAGCTGGCCCATCAGCTCCAGAAGAGGGGAGGGGGTCAAGGGAAATGGCAGTCCTGGCTGCCCAGCACTGGGACAGGAGCCCTGAGGACTTTGGGGTTTCGGGGTTTCTAACCACGGCCTCCTTTTCTTGCCCCCTTTTCCTCCCAGCTCAACTCCCCCCTGAACCCCGTGAGCAGCACAGAAGACATCAAGCCCCCCCTGGGCATCAACGGGGTTCTCAAAGTGCCAATGCACCCCTCCTCCATCATGCCCGCCTTCACCAAGCACATCTGTGCCATCTGTGGAGACCGCTCCTCAGGTAATGCCAACCTTGCTCTGTTTCTAGCTGGCATCACTGCCCTGCCAAGGTCTCTGCTCCCACTTAGTCTTCATCTGCCCGCTTGGCAGGGAGGGCGTTTTCCACTAACGGGTGGGGCTAGCCAAGGGCTCTCCTCCCTCCAGCATGAAAGCCCCCAAGCAGACAGCAGGTGGGCTCTCCCTGCCTGGTGGGACTGGGGGGGGGGATGCCAAGCTGGGCAGCTGAATCTCTCCCTTCTCCCCCCCTCCGGGGTTGGGGCCTTCGTTCTGCGTGGGCATCGCTCCTGTCCCCATAACCTTTGGCCGAGTGCCTCCCTGGGTGGCGAGAGGGCTCCTCTGAAAAAGGAACAGGCTGGCACTTGCCATCCCGCGCCAGAGGGCCAGCCAGATGCTGAAGGGAAACATCTCTTGGAGGCAGCCCTCCCTCCCAGTTGCCCTGCCCTGCCTGTCCCGCTTCCCCTTCCCACTGGGTCCTGGTGCCAAGCGGGACCTCCTTCCCTACCAGCCCCGTCTGTCTCCTCCCCCACCCCCAGGCAAGCATTACGGGGTATACAGCTGTGAGGGCTGCAAAGGCTTCTTCAAACGGACGGTGCGGAAGGACCTGACCTACACCTGCCGGGACAACAAGGACTGCCTGATCGACAAGCGCCAGCGGAACCGGTGCCAGTATTGCCGCTACCAGAAGTGCCTGGCGATGGGCATGAAGAGGGAAGGTGAGGCCAGCGAGCGCTCAGACCATGGAGGAGCAGTCCCAGTTCGGAAGGCTGCCCCTTGTGGGGGTCAAGGAATCATAGGATGGAAGGGCTAGAACAGTGGGGGCGAAGCTATGGCACGGGTGCCAGAGGCGGCACTCAGAGCCCTCTCTGTGGGCACACGCGCCATCGCCCCAGTCCTAGGCCTTCAGCTGGGTTTGATAAAACCTTTTCGCTTTAGGTCTCCGCCGCCATGTGCAAAAAAACAAACAAACAAAGGTTCAATCAGTCAATTTCAACTTCTCGCGGGGAAAAAAAAAGATCTTGCAAAGTTGGAATTGATTGATTGAACTTTTTAGTCCCACCCAGTCTGCCGTTATCACCGCAGCCACGGCCACCCAATGGGCCACGCCCAGCCAATGGGCCACACCCACCCGGCACTCGATGATGCGTAAGTGGGTTTTGGGTTGCAGTTTGGGCACTCGGTCTCTAAAAGGTTCGCCATCACTGGGCTAGAAGGTGATTTGGAGGTCATCTAGACCAGTGATGGCGAACCTTTTAGAGACTGAGTGCCCAAACTGTAATCCAAAACCCACTTATACATTGTCGAGTGCCGGGTGGGTGTGGCCCAATGGCTGGGCGTGGCCAATTGGCTGGGCGTGGGCGTGGCTGCAGTGGTAACAGCAGACTGAGTGGGACTAAAAAGTTCAATCAATCAATTCCAACTTTGCAAGAATTTTTTTTTCCCGCGAGAAGTTGAAATTGACTGAACCTTTTTTTTTTTTTGCACATGGTGGCGGAGGCCTAAAGCAAAAAGGTTTTATAAAACCCAGCTGAAGGCCTAGGACTGGGGCAACGACGCGGGTGCCCACAGAGAGGGCTCTGAGTGCCGCCTCTGGCACCCGTGCCATAGGTTCGCCACCACTGATCTAGACCAACTTCCTCTCAACTGGACAGTTATATTGTGTTCACATTTATCCATTGACAGTGCAGAATCAGTCCCCCCCCCTTTTTTTAAGACATTGCCTTGTACCTTGTTTATGTGCTGTTTGATATAAATGTCAGGCCTGCCCCACTCAGATCCCTACGCAAGAAAGACCCTCGACTCCATTGGGTTGAAGTGATCGGTTCTTTTACTAAGGATTAGTAGTTGCAGTGAAAGCAAGGCTAGGTCTGAATATTCCCACACAAAGGTTATACTTTCCCCCTTTCCGTGGCCCTCCTCCCTTTGTCTCTTTCATCGGTGTCCAAGTGTCCAGTAGGAAGCTGCTCAGATGTTTTAGGAACCACTTGGCGCGTCTCGGTGCAATTTCTCACTCCGCTCCCAGGCTAGGTGTCCTTGATGGCTGCTTCATTCTGGTGTGGTATGATGGAGGGGAGTCCAGGCAGGCTGGGCTGAGAACTGTAGTGCCTGACGCAGGACAGGCAGGGAGCCTTGCACGCTCGGAAAAGGAGGACAGCAGTAAGCAGAGTTTTCGTTAAGCAGGAGCACTGCCTGCTCAGTGCAAATCAATTCGCATCGCTTGTTTTATTCCTCACATCTCTACATTTTCCCATGATTTCATTTTGCATCAGTGTCCATCTCGTGACCGCAAGACATTGCGTTTTGGTGTCACTCCCATTCTCTTTGAAACATTTGGATGTGATCATAAGGGCTAGGGTTTTATATATATATATATATACTGCTCAAAAAAATAAAGGGAACACAAACATATGGGATCCTATACGTTTGTGTTCCCTTTATTTTTTTGAGCAACTTTGGCACCGTCCCCTCTCCTCTTCACGTCCTTGAAAGCCACCAGGAAGCAGCTCCCTTGTCTAGGTTGAGAAGAAGGCCGGGCCTGGTTGCCCCCTCGGCCAGTTAAGCCCCTTCCCCAGCCATGCATCTCTCCTGGGCTTGGGGGGCTCCAGCTTCCTGCAGCGCGTCCCTGTTTCCCCCTCCCTGTGGGACATTTATTTATTTATATTTATTTATGAGACTTATCTACCGCTTTAAGTGCAAGCACTCTCTAAGCGGTGTACACCAGTAAGCAATGTATATATATATATATTTACATTGCCCCCAACAATCTGGGTCCTCATTTTACCTACCCCGGAAGGATGGAAGGCTGAGTCAACCTTGAGCTGGTGAGATTTGAACTGCTGACCTGCTGAACACAGTCAGCTAAAGTGGCCTGCAGTATTGCACTCTAACTGCTGCGCCACCTCCTCCCTCTGTGGCCTCTTCCAGAATTTCTGACTGGGGTGCAGGGGTGGGAATTCCCAAGGAGAGCATTCAGAGGGGGGGGGTTAAGCCAGCTGCCTGCCAGATGTAGACTAGACATGTCAGCCCTTCAAGGTAGACAAGACTAGGTAATAAAGTCATGCGTGCTAATACCACTCTTATGGTAAGGGTGCAATAACAGAATCTTACAACTCTGAATGGGCCTCCCCTCCCTTTATGCTCCTGAGAGCTTCTGAGACGCTCTCTCAGATTACATTTCTGCCCAGGACTCGGATTTCTTTTATCTGACCATCGTCTTGGTAGCGGCTCTTCCTCGAGGTCATTCCCGCTGGTCATTGCAGGACAAAGCAGCCATGTCTGCAGGCCCTACAGAGCTTTTCGCCAATTGGATGAGTAATGGGGGGGGGTCCTTGGTGCTCTCTGAGCTTGGTTGTTTTCTTACAGACATTTCGTGACCCAACTAGGTAACATCATCAGTTCTAGAAGGGAGGGGGGTTTGCTCTCTATCTACTTTCCTTTTCAGCAACCTCTGCCCTGTGGCTGGCTCTATAGAAGGTGCTCAGCACAGCTGCCAGGTCCACAAAAGGGATACCTCTGGGTGCTCTCCCAAGCCAGTGAATCCCAAGGGAGAACTGGAATCGGGGCGAGACGGCTTCTCTGGGACCTCTGGCAGCCTTTGGGGTAGCTGCTCAGGCTGCTTGTGGGGACAAGCCCTGGCGGTCCCTGCCTTGGAGGTGTGGGCCGATCATCTGCAGGTGGACGGGGTGCAGTCTGGCTTTACATCTGGACCAAAGTCCCCAGAAGCAAGAGACATTCCAGGCAGGATAGGAGACAAATGCCTCTGCTGTTCTCTGGCCACTCCTCCTCTTCAAGATAGTCTACCTCTGCAAGTGGAGGTTCCATCTGGATAGGACTCTTCCTTACCTGCACCAGACTCGGGAAAATAAAACTGTCTGGTAAGCAAGCTATTCTTGGGAGCCATTTTTTATTTCCCTCTTTTCAGATTAATAAAGGGGTCTCACAAGAAGTAGGAATAATGGTAAATAAAAATGCAGCCAATTGTTCAAAAGCAAAACTTGTACATGTGGGGGGGTTTTTTTGATCATAATGCCCCCATGGAGGGGTGGGAGGTTGGGTGGGTGGGGGTTCCCCTTGCCTCCTTCGCCTTGGTTTGCAAGGAGATGCAGGGAGCAGGTCAGCCCTTCCTGCCTTGGGCTGACCTCTGGGGCCATGGGCAGTGCCCGGACCTCTTCCGGGGAAGGAATGCAACCTCGGGTGCAGCCCCACACACACTGATGGCTGCCAGCTCCCTCTGAACCCACCTCCAGGGGTCTCTGCCCCGGGCCAAGCAGCCCTGGCCCTCTGAAAGCCTCCCTTGCCATTCAGGACCGGGTGGGAGTGCCTGTGGAGAACAGCTCTTGGCCTCCCCTTGTTTGACAGACCTTCTGGGGTTTATTTTAATGAGTTATTTAAGCAGTTGTAAGCCACCAACTTCTTTTAATGGCTTGCAGCCATCTCGTTAGAGCAGTGGTTCTCAACCTTTTTAATGCCGCGACCCCCAACCGGTCGTAAGTCGAGGAGTACTCAACTGGTGCAGCACCGTTTGCAGAATGGGACTTTTGGCGGGCTCAGCAGGGCAGAGACAGCCTGGGCAATTCCTATTGGCTTTTGAAAGCCAATAGAATGAGACCCTATTCAAGAGAGTCTATTCTATTGGCTTTCAAAAGCCAATAGAATAAAAGGGAGTAGCACAGCTAAGGAAAAGGGGGGAAAAATGGCGGATTGCGTTGTTTGGCGACCCCCGTGAAATGGTCGTTCGACCCCAAATGGGGTCCCGACCCACAGGTGGAGAACCATTATGTTAGAACATCAGAGATATAATTACGGCAAAGTTTAAAACAATGAAGCTCTGGGTTTTAAATCAGTTAAATGTTAAGTAATTAAGAGGCTTGGAGAAATAGCTGTGCTCTGGGCATCCTCCCCACGGCTAGCAAAGAGGCAACTTGTTGCAGGCCGAGGCTGCCCAGAGAAAGCGGAAGGCACCAGAGAAGGACGACTGCAGGCACACGAGGACCCGCCAGACGGGCTGAGCCTCCACTCCCCACGGTCTTCTGCTGGCTGGTGCCCGAGTCACCAAAACTGGGTCTTTCTCCTCCAGGGGGGAGCCAGACGGTTTCTCAGCCAAAGCTGATCTAGGCTGGCTCTCTGTCCAGGATCCTGCAGGACCAGGAGGTGCCCCAGGCTGCCACCTGGCACTCTGCAGGGGTGGTGTGACCTACCTGGGCCATATCCAGGTCTAGACCCAGGTTGAAAAGGGTGAGGACAATGGAATTTCTGAGCGGTCGCCTTCTCCGCCAGCCTGGCTAAGGGTGGGATATCGGGCCTGTTTGAATTGGGGCAGGAAACTCTGCTGGAGAGAGCATTAATGTTTGTGGGCAAAGCTTTTAAACGGCCTTGATAGCCAATCCGGACAGGAACCCAGCCTACAGGTAGTAGCATAAACAGATTCTAGAACAGTGGTTCTCAACCTTTTTAATGCCGCAACCCCCAACCAGTCGTAAGTCGAGGACTACTCAACTGGTGCAGCACCGTTTGCAGAATGGGACTTTTGGCGGGCTCAGCAGGGCAGAGACAGCCTGGACAATTCCTATTGGCTTTTGAAAGCCAATAGAATTAGACTCTACTCAAGAGAGTCTATTCTATTGGCTTTCAAAAGCCAATAGAATAAAAGGGAGTAGCACAGCTAAGGAAAAGGGGGGAAAAAATGGCGGACTGCGTTGTTTGGCGACCCCCGTGAAATGGTCGTTCGACCCCAAATGGGGTCCCGACCCACAGGCTGAGAACCACTGTGCTAGAAGCTTCTCCATTGTTGGACTGTGTGATGGACTCGGTGGGAATGGGGCCCAGCCCAAGCTGTGTGTGAAGCAGCACCCAGATTGCTCGCAGTTGGGCTCCGATGCCATCTGGGCATCAGCCAGAATCACAAAAGTCATGGTCATCTGCTCAAAAAGTGTCCTCCAAGGAAGCCACGCGCTTCCACAGAAGATGTGGCGATGCCACTATTGGGCCTGCGCATCTCCACCAGTGGCCATAGTTAAAAGGACTGTCTCCTCCTTAAGACAGATGAGATGGATTCTGCTCAAGATGAGATGGATTCTGCTCCCTTCCCTTCTTGTCTTCTAGTTCCTGTCATCCTCACTGCTGCTCTCCACACTTGTTGAGGCCAGAGTGATGGTTTGTGTTTCTCCAGATTCTGTGGCCGGATGGGAAGGGGGGCTTGCCCCCTTCTAGGATCTGAGGCTTTATGTTCTGTGGGGCTTCCAGACATCGCCTATGAATTTGGCCCGGCTGTGAGCCCTGGCAACCTGAACCCACGGGAGGTCAAGGGACCCTCCCTGATCAGGTCCCTGAGATGCCTCAGCTGGGATCCTGTTCCTTCCACCCGCCCTTCTTAATTTCTAAGGGGGCCATTTATCCTCCCCTCAGAGGAGACTGCCCGCTCTCCCCGCCCTGCGCTGAGGATTCCTGGCTTGTTATTTGTTGTTCTTTGGCTGCCTTCCCTGAGCATCTGACACACCAGTATCTGATTCCTTCTCTTCTGGGCTCAACGTATCTCAGAAGCTCATCTTGCTCTCCTTAACAGTGTCTGAGAACTGCTGTGGCTTCTGGGCACGAGGTTTCGAAGCCGTTGCCACCCTTCTTCTGCCCTTCTTTGGCAGCTTTCCCTGCTTTGCCTGCCTCTGGTTTCTGCCCTTCTACAAGGGTGACCGGGGCAGAAGGAGCCCAGAACCCAGCACAATCAGCCCTCAATGGAGAGGCCGGGAGGGGATCCAGAAAAGCATGACAAATCCCTTGGCAAGCTGGAGGAATGGGCAAAAATGCTAGCGAATGCCATCGTTCTGGAAGCTCAGAATACTGGCATTGGCTGGCACTGTCCCCTCCGATGAGAAAAACACTAATGGGTGCCTTTGAGAAGGCTGCCGTTTGCTAGCTTTTTCCATCCCAGAGGGGAAAACACTAGCGAGTGCCAGCATTTCTGCCTTTCCAGTGGGGGAGACGTGGCAAATGCCAACGTTCTGAGGATGGCATTTACTAGCGTTGTCACCAGATTTGAGGCCCGCTCCCTCAGGGCAGGGCGGGTTTTTTTCTCCCCGTGTGGAGCAGAGGCGAAACCCCTCCTGGTGCTGCAAGAACAGACCTCAAATCCAATCTCCCTCCTGCTTGCAACCTTTCCTTTTCCTGCTGGCTTCTTCATTTGCAGAGAAAACTGCAAATGGCGATCAGATGATCGATTGCAGGGCGCTTGGGCTGTAAATCAGAATAGTTTGCCAGGCACTTGAAATGCAGTCATATGATGGGATGGCACAATGTTTTACAATGGCTGGAAGTACTTTAGGGGCCATGAGCCACCTGTTTTTGAGGCTCTTGTAATGGCAGACAAGTGAATAAATGAGCAGTCATAAGTTGGATACACAGGCTGAACAACCACGAGAAAATAACAAGAAAAAGTGCCCTCTCTTGATTCCATTTAGCCAGGCCAAAAAGTTCTTAGTTTCCCTAGTATACAATTTCTGACCTTGATTAACTATCAGAGCCTTTCTCAGAATTGTAAGGGCCTGCCTCAACCCCAGAACATTAAATATTCTTATCAGTACCTAATCGAGGAAGCCCACTGCAGAAAGATGGGGAGCTGAGAAGGCCGATTCTTCTCCTCTGGAATGTGCGTGAACGGTGAACGTAGACTTTGCTCTGCAGAGGACAGCCACACACGTTCCCAGTCCAGGAAATGGTTGTGGCTTCCATGTGGTAGACATTTGTGAAACAGAGAATCCACAGAGAGGCTGAGTTTCTCAATCTGAGAACTCAGAAAGAACCAGAAATGGCCTGGGTTTAAAAGCAGGCAGGCAGGCAGGCTGCAGAGATGCACCCGCCAGGCGTACAGAACTAAGAGCGCAGTCCTGTTCTAGGAATGAGTTTGACGTGACCCGGGGCATGCTGTGCACCACGAGAAGCAATACTGGGATGGGATGCAGGGTAGGGCTGTGCTCTTTATCCCAGGCGCTGCCCTCTGGGGGGGGGGGTGTAGAAGTCTCCTGCCAGATGTGAAGGCTACTACACTTTGAGAGGCTCTTTTCGTGCCAATCCGCCATGGGACCCTGTGGAGTCCAAGCTGAGGCAGGGCTGACAAAGGCCATCCATCAACTGTGTTCCTTTCTTTGGCTGGGCCCAAACTGGCCCCTATCCTGGAAAAACGAGTTTTATTTGATCGGAAACTCGGACAGGTGCTGGAAACCCCCCCGGCTGCCTCCTGTGTTCGCTGGAAGTTGTCCTGCTCCAGCACAGTGCCAGGATGCCCACTTTATTTTCTCCTTTTGGCTTGGGAGGGGCAGGGGGCTGTGGCCAGAGGCGCTTAGCCCCTTCCCCTACCCCATCCTAAGAAAGGCTAAGCCCAGAAACCCACCAGCATTCCTTGAATGTGTTTGCAGCCTCTCTTCAGCCCAGCCGGCTCCCTGGAACATTCGCCAGGGAACAAAATAGCACTAGCACTTTAGCCCCCTTCACACAGTGCTTTGCAGCCCTCTCTAAGCGGTATACGGAGTCAGCATGCTGCCCCCGTCAATCTGGGTCCCCATTTTACCCACCGCGGAAGGACGGAAGCCTGCCTGTAGATAGGACAGAGAGAGAGAGGAAAGGGGGCTTGGGGGGATCAATCGCCCTACGGCCGCAACGATTTCATCTGAGAGGAGTAAGGAAGAAGACCACCGTATAAAAAGTGGGCCAGAAATACCCCCCCCCCCGACTTTCTCTCTGGGAAAATGTACAAGGGCCATGTATTTGGGTGGTGCTGCCCCATCAAGAGCAGCAGTTTAATGACTGAAACATGCACAGCAGCGATAGCTGCCTTTCTTCTAATGATGTTTCATTTCCAAATCTCTACTCTATTGCAGGGATGGAGCACCATCCATCCCGACCCACAAGACTCCCTGGAAGGCAGGAGCAATCAGGTACTCCCATTTCAATCTTACTAGACCAGCTGTTAAGCAGCAAATCTCTTGGTGTCTCCAGAGGGTGACCTGGAGAGGCCGAGTCCTCCCAGAATCGGCCGAGTCCTCCTCGCTCCGTAGGGGCAGATTCTCTGGCGAGGAAAGGAAAAAAATGCCAGAGAGACTCCCCGGATGGAGGGTGAAATCCTAGAGGAGCTGCAGGGCCAAGAAGAGGCAGACCCTCGGTGCAGACTGCCCTGCCCGGGGACGCATCAGGGCCAAGGGGCTGTGGCTGTGGCTTGTGGTGGGCTGGAATGTGCCTCCCTGCAGAGCCAGTTCCACATTGCACCACGTAAGCTTTAATGCACTCGAGACAGTCAGAAGGATTCAAGGCAGCAGGCTGTGGGTTAAAATTCAGGCAGGCTGAGGAAGGCGGTTGTGGCTCGGAATCTGCATTTGCGACCACTCTGGCCCTTTCCTCCCAGGCAGAGGCTGGGTGGAGGATCCTTTGAGCAGCACTTGTGTTGCTAATGCGACAGTGCTGACGTGGGAGGTTCGGGCAGACGTTCTTGGTTCACGGGGCCCTTAGCAGTTTCCACACCACACCGTGCAATGCCCGAGGTGTCACAACAAACGCAGTACTTAACAGCTCCCTTTATTAAATAGTGGCAGCCCTGAGGATTTGGGAAGGGTGGCATCGGCGATGGTTGCATTCACATTATTAACCTGACAGGAGTGGTTCTGCCGTTCCTGAGAATAAACAGGCAGGTGTTCTGTGGGGTTTGCCTTAACTAAAGCCTCCATGTGCAAAGGCAGTGTAGCTCAGCATTATAGCGGGGCTGGGAACAGGTGGTGGGCAGCCTCTCCTCTTCTTCATTTCTGCTGAAGCCTTTCTTACTTGGTGTCCTGGGAGGGCTGGGGGTGGCAAGGGAGGCGGCTGGTGGGCAGGCAGGCCACTGTGGGACCCACCCTGAAATCTTCAGCAGCAGTGTCCCTGGCAGCAGTTTCCCCAAGGACGTGGGTGGGTGTGAAGTTCTTTAGAGCTTTAGCTCTTCCTTGTGTCTTGGCAGTGAGTGTCACACACAGAGAATAGGTCCCACGAAGGAAACGGTGGGCCATTCAGAAGGGGGGGGGGGCAGAAGGGCCAACAAGAAATGAGTGGCACCAAGAAAGGCACCGGCAGCAGTGCAAGAGTGGGCAGCAAAACTGGGTGCTGCAGAGTTTGGCCAATTCAGGAGACTGAATGCCTGGCCCTGCAGCAAGCAGAGAGCAAGTTTGTGTTTGTCTTTGTCGGATGGTGGCTGAGAACAGGAGGAGGGGAAAGTGCTGTCTTTTCACCCTGGGGTCTTGTGGTCTGCTTTAGAGAGAGGAATGCAGAGCAGAGCAAATGAAAAGCAAAGCCGAGGAACGGATCTTCTTACGGTGTTGCACTGGGCCTCCCAGCAATAGAATCAATGTCTGGGCATCCTTCCAGATTGGGAGCACCTACCATCTCTCTCCAGCACTTTCCCCCGAGGGCTGGGGGTGCCCTCCCCATACGTGTGCGTGGAGGGCTCTGCACCCTTTTGCCCTGTGGCTCATTTCCTCTTCCCAGGAGCTGCAGGAGCCAAGAGCGAAAGCCTGGTCAACCCCACCAGGTGGGCAGACGTTGGCCCCCTTTCCTGCTGGCCCTTTAAAGAAAAGACGTAATTCCAGGAAGGGGAAATTCCATCCCGTTTCTCACCAGGGTGTCAGTTTGCCATCCCGTTCCAAATTCTGGGCATGCCAGCAAACGCCAGAACAAATAATACTCAAATAACCCTCAGTAAATGACTTGGTACAAAGGATCCAGATTTAGTCAAGTCTACCTTGACTAAATTCACTGTAATTTGAGGGGGGGGGGCAGAGTCAGGGTGGAAGCAAAGGATGGTGGTTTGCCTTGTTACCGAGAAGAAGGTCCATCTGAAAGCCAGCTGGGTTTCGGCTGCACCAGTGTGTATAGGTGGAGTCCAGGGGAGGCGGGAAGCAGCCCTCCTCGCATTTGTTAGGGCAGCCCTTGGCCACGACCGGAAAGGAAGGCGCCGGATGGATGGGTTAGTCAGTTGTCCCTCTAATCAGGGGTTCTCAACCTTGGCAACTTTAAGACTTGTGGACTTCAACTCCCAGAATTCCTCAGCCAGCTTTGCTGGCTGAGGAATTCTGGGTGTTGAAGTCCACAAGTCTTAAAGTTGCCAAGGTTGAGAACCCCTGCTCTAGGTACAGCTGTTCAGGCCATTTTGCAGGGCAACTGTGAGCTGCCAACTAAACCACCAAGATCGGCAAGTCTTTCGAGTTGTACAGTAGCCAAATTTTGCACCATTGCTGTGACCATTAGAAGTCTTTGGAGCTAATTGTTTTCCCAGTGTGTCTAGTGTATGGTTGAATAGGTTTGATGGGCTGCTGTGTGGTGTATTGTTGGGCTTCAGTGTGTTGGGTCTGTGACTGTATATTTTATGAGCTAAACGGACCGCCAAAGGCAGGAGCTCAGCCAGGGCAAATCTCCCGTCTTCACTGCTTCTGGAGGGTCAGTGGGCGCCTCCTCGGAGCAAACCCACTCATTCCAAATGGAAACCTAGCACGGCTTCACAATGCTTTGAACCGCCATCAAACTGGGCTCCTGGGCTGAGCACCGGCAGGGTCAAGCAGTCCAGGCCTGGACAAAGTCAGGGCTCCCGAGGGCCAACACCACAGGGGCCAAGCGGGGCCTCGCCCAGGAGAGGGGGGTCCTGCCCCTGGGTGACTCCGGGCGTCCCCAGGGGCCACTGGCCAAAATGGGAGGGCAGTTCCCGGCCTTGGGGGCCACTTTTCGTCTCCCTGTCCTGCCTGAGGGGCAGGAGGGTTTGGCCCAGCCAGGTTGCGCCCGGAACGGAGCTTCTGGGTAAAATGGGCACATGAAGCCTTGCAGGGGTTAAGGTCCCACTTAAAACCATACAACCCCCCCCCCCCAAAAACAGGGGAGATTAGCTCAGTTTCGGCTGGCAAAAGGTTTTTAAGGCTGTATGTTCCCTTAAACTCCCCTAAGCCACAAGATAATCATTTTTATCCTTTTCAATCCCTGCCCCCCAAACAAAAAGATGAGACTACGTAGTCCTCATTTAGTGATTGCTTCATTCAGCAACTGCTTGCTGTTAACAATACTGATGAAAAAAGAACGTTATGACCAGTCCTCCCACTTGCGACCTTTACGAGTCTGTAAAGCTGACTTTACAGGAAAGCCGATTTAAGGAAAGGGAGATCATAAGCACAGCAGCTGTGTATTTACTTGCCCGCTGCTTTGTTTAATGACTGAGTTGCTGGTCCCAATTGTGTCACTAAATGAGGACTACTTGTCCATTGCTGCCCACACCCATAGAGCACAATGGTCCGCCTCGTTTCCAAGCCCCCTGCTTCAAAAGCTTTCAGCATCCAAATCTGATGGATTGACCCCCCCCTTTGGCCCTTCCAGCTGTCCAGGAGGAGCGGCAACGAGGCAAAGACCGCAACGAGAATGAGGTTGAATCCACCAGCAGCGCTCACGAGGACATGCCGGTGGAAAAGATCCTGGAAGCTGAACTGGCGGTGGAGCCCAAGACGGAGACCTACATCGAAGCCAACATGGGCCTGACGCCGAGTTCGGTAAGCAAGCGGCCCGTCTAGTCCCTGGATGGCCAGGTGGGAACTCCTGGGTCAAGGGCTCCAGACCCTCCTTTCCTGCTGAAATGATGTCCTTCCACAAGGCCTTAGAGCAGTGTTTCTCAACCTTGACCATTTTAAGGCATGTGGACTTCAACTCCCAGAATTCCACAGCCAGCGTTGCTGGCTGTGGAATTCTGGGAGTTGAAGTCCACATGCCTTAAAATGGTCAAGGTTGAGAACCACTGCCTTAGATAGCGGTAGCTCTACTCTCCCTTCCCTTTTTGGGTGGGGTGGAGGAATGGCCAGGACGGTCCAGCCATTCTCTTCCAGCCCCGCTGGAGAAGAGGAGCGTTTGAGAAGGAGCTTCCGGGGTGTCCAGGAAGCACAAACAGCCTTTCCACAACCCCCTCAAAGTCACAGGCAGAGCGTGCGGAGGTGGCTGATCCAGATTTCTCCAGGGCCGGAGTGACCCTGCAGAGTCTCCCGCTGCCCGGAGCAGTTGGGGCACTTTGCCCTGGATGGAGGGCAAGAAGCCAGGAAGTGAGAGGGTGGCCAGAGGAGCCAAGACAGGCTAGAAGGGCTGTTCACCAGCAGCCTTTCCCTGAGAATTCAGCAGAATTTCTCCCAATTTCTCCTCCTCGTTGTTTCTCTGGGGTGAGAAGGGAGCTGTAGGGGAGTAAGCGCTCCCGCCAATCCTGCCAAAGGGAGCCTGGCCCACCGCCAGTCTGCCTGTGACTTTCCTGGGCCAGCCAGGACTGCCGGCAAGGCACAGAAAGCAGTTGCTTCCCTCTGGCACCTGGACGTGGCCGCTGCCTGGGTTCAAAATCCCCAGGGGAGATGAGCAAGGCCACGGAGCAGAGGAAGCAGCGCCAAAAGAAGGCCCGGCTGCTCCCTGGTCCGGTTCGGGCATCTCCCCGGCTGGGAGGGAAGCCACGGGTGGCACCCGCAGGGCAGGGCAGGGCGTTCAGTCTGAGATGCTCCTCGGTCAAGCAGGGCCTGAGGACGGGGTGGGTGTGCTGAGGAACCTGGGGCAGCCGCAGGGACGCTGGTATCCCAGGGGCTGCCCTTGATTTTGTAGACTCGGGAGAACGACCCATTTGCTCCTGGGCCGCCGCCTTGTGAAGGGGTCTCCCGGGGCCAAGGCTTGCGGGCGGCATTGTGGGTCCTTCCCCAGTGATTCCAGAGCTGGCTGGAGCGAGAGGCAAGGGGTGCTGGCCTCAGTGACCCTAGAGGACAAAGCCTGAGAAGGGTGCAGCTGGAGACCCCCATCAGCAGGGGGGAGGTCTCTTGCTTCCCCCTCCGATGGCATCGCCTCTTTGTCTGGAGGTGACCTGGGCTCCCTGGCCGAAGAGTCTGGCCTTGGACCTCTTGGCTTGCCTAGTTAGCTAATACTGGGGGGGGGGTCTGCCTTGCAAGGGGCCTTGGGAGACTCTTGGGAAGGGCAGGGAAGTGGGATCTGCTGCACGGGTCTCTCTGCTGCAGCTCCCTGGGGTGCCCTCTCGGCTCACTGGCTTATAGCACTGATGGGAGGAGGAGGAGGAGGAGGAGGAACTGGGGGGGGGGCTGAAGAGGGGAGCCTTGAGGCCTGCTTGTGAATTTCTCCACCGGAGTCCTCCCGTTGGGGTTGGGTGCCACAGCCTTCAATCCTGGTATCCGGGAACTTCACCAAAGGGGCTTCTTTGGGGCAGGGGTGTTTCCCGTTGGAGCTGCACACCCTTCTCGCCCCCTTTCCTTCCAGCTCTGCTTCCTTCTCTCTGACTCCCAGCCCCTCAGGTGCAGTCCTGCTCCCCTTGGCACCTGCCTGGCTTCAGAGCAGCCCCCGAGTCCCTCTGTGCACGGGAATGGCACTGCAGCCCTGGAGGCAGAGGGGGCCACTTCAGCTCCAGACTCCTGCCTCCCCTGCCCCAAGGCCTCCATTGCTCCCTCCTTCAAGAGGCCAGGCTGGATGTGCACCCATCTCACTCCTTAACGCAGTGTTTCCCAAACTTGACAATTTTAAGGCATGTGGACTTCAACTCCCAGAATTCCACAGCCAGCAATGCTGGCTGTGTAATTCTGGGAGTTGAAGTCCACATGCCTTAAAATTGTCAAGTTTGGGAAACACTGCCTTAACGTCTTCGCCAAAGCTGAAAAGACCGAGGTGTGAGAAATGGAAGACAAAATGCTGGCAAGAACTATCTTGTGGGGATCTCACCTCCCCAAGACACCCTGACTGTGCTTGGGGGGGGGGGGAAACGGATGTCCCCGCAGCCCAAAAGCAGCACCAACCAAGGAAGATTAGGAGAAGGGCAGCCCCTTTGCAGAATCCAGGTTTCCAAACCTCCCCACTTGTATTCCAGGGGCAGAAGGGATTGCCAACTGCCCCCTTCGGTGCACGCAGGGCAGGAGAGGTTGCAGGGGGCTTTTGGCCTAAGGAGGGGGCCTGCAGGGGACGGGGAGAGTGGCAGGCCCTCTGACGCCCCACGGGGGGGGGGTCTCTTCTCTCGGCAGCCCAATGACCCGGTCACCAACATCTGCCAAGCGGCAGACAAGCAGCTCTTCACACTGGTGGAGTGGGCCAAGCGGATCCCCCATTTCTCGGAGCTCCCACTGGACGACCAGGTCATCCTGCTCCGAGCCGGTGAGTAGCGAGTCGGCCGGAGCTGGCAGGAAAGGGTCTGGGAGGGTCTGGGCAACTGAGGAGGCCTTCAGGCGCATTCGGAGGTCTTGCCACACTCCAGAAAGAGAAGCAGGAGGAGGGAAGGGGGGCAGGGGCCAAGTCCCCTGGCGCCTTTCCCTTCTCTGGAGCTGGAGACGGTCATCTGGACTGAGGGACGAAGGGAAGCCCCTGAGGCTGCCTGACCCCAGTCTCTCGTGGGCGGCTGAGAGGGAGCCTGTCTGCCTGCCCCCCTCGGGCCTTCCGAAGCTCCTGCTCCCTCCCCCCCCCCTCAGGGTGGTCTTCCCCTGGCATAAAGGGGAATAGATGCCACCTAAGGAACCAATTCTTCTTCACCAGAGATACAAAATACAGAATAAGGAGAATTGGAAGGGACTTTGGAGATCTTCTAGTCCAGTGTTTCTCAACCTTGACAGTTTTAAGGCATGTGGACTTCAACTCCCAGAATTCCATAGCCAGCATTGCTGGCTGTGGAATTCTGGGAGTTGAAGTCCACCTGCCTTAAAATTGTCAAGGTTGAGAAACACTGTTCTAGTCCAACCAAGTGGGAAACCCTCTCGCATTCCAGACAAGGGGTTGTCCAGTCTCTTCCTGAAAACTTCCAGGGATGGTGTACCCACAACTTCTGAATTGTTGCACTGATTTAATTGTTCTCACTGGCAGGAAATTTTTCCTTAGTTCTAGTTGAATCTCTTTCTAATGGTCCTCCATCCATTACTCAGGTGCTTTGGAGAATGGGTGGACCCTCTCTTCTTTGTGTCAGCCCCTCAAGTACTGGAAGAGTATCACGACACCCCAGCCCTTCTCTTGGCTAGACTAGACATAGCCAGATCCTGCAGTCGTTCACCGTATGTTTTAACCTCCATCTTTGTTGCTCTTCTCTGCATTCTTTCTAGAGTCTTGACATCTTTTGTGCATCATGGGGGCCAAACCTAGACACAGTATTCCAGTTTTGGTCACCACGATTAAAAAAAAGAGGCCAAGACTCTAGAACAGTGGTTCTCAACCTTTCTAATGCCGTGACCCCATAATACAGTTCCCCATGTTGTGGTGACCCCCAACCACTTATACATCACCGGGTGCCAGGGCCGTGGCCAAAGAAAAGGGGAAAAAATGGCGGACAGCCTTGTTTGGCGACCCCCGTGAAATGGTCGTTCGACCCCAAATGGGGTCCCGACCCACAGGTTGAGAACCACTGATCTAGAAAGAGTGCAGAGAAGAGCAACAAAGATGATACTCAAATAGAGGCTGGATGTCAACAATACTCTTATGCTGCACTGAGCAGAAGATATGGCCTCTAAAGTCCTCCCAACTCCATGGTTCTGCTCACCACCTGCCTGTTCTCACCCCCCCCCCCAATCCTGCAAGCCAAGAGGACTTGGGTGGTAATCAAGATGGAGCAAGAGAGGGAAAAGAACTGTGGTGGTTAATACTAGCAGCGTGTATCCAGGAGGAGAGGGCTATTCAGCTCACGTGCAGAGTGTAGCCTTGGGCAAAGCCCTTCCCGCCTGGGAATATGGGAAGCAGCCTCGTAGAAAGGCTGAGGACCTGAAGTGGCTCGGAGGAGGAGTTGCCGGCTGAGCTTCCCGCATCTTGGCAAGCAGGTCCCTGTTCGCACCTCTGGAATCATTTGAGGAGTTCAAATCCTTGTGACCTGCAACCACAGAAGCTTCTCCCCAAAGTTGTTTATTACTCTCGAAGGGCTGTTTACTTCCTCCGCACACATATCTGGGGCGGAGAGCGAAGGGCCCAGATCCAGCGACTTCCTTTAGACGCCAAATGTGGGGGGAAACTGGCTGTGGCGAGTCAAAGGAGCTGGAAGGCTGCGGGGGACAGGGCAACAGGTGTGGATGGTGCAGGTCAAAGTTGGGGTGATCTGGAAAGCAGGCCTGAGCCCGTCCACTTCGGCTTCTGCCTGCCTGCCTGTTGTTTATCTCGGTTGCGACTACTCCTTGGGCTGGGAATGGCAGCACTCGCACAGCCAGAACTGCTGTTTGGAACACTCAGGCAGCTGAGGGTCCTTCTGTGGACTTTGCAGTAGCAGCAAAGAGATCCCCCTCCATCGGCTGCTGCTTTCAAGGCTCCCTTCCCCCAAAAGCCCCCTTCGTCAGGGTGGACCCACCCAGCCTGCCTCGGAAAAGAACGCTGCTGGAATGGTTGAGCGGGAAGAAACTGGTGTCCTGGTGCCCTTTGAGATGGGAGCTATTCCCACTGTGGGAAAGGCGAGGCTGGCGTCCATGGGTCTCCCGGAACGTCTGAGCATTTACTTCTTTATCCCACTATTGGATCTCAGGGAGAGACTGGCTTGTTATTTATTTATTTTATTTTATTTATTTACGAGACTTATATACCGCTTTAAGGGCAAGCACTCTCTAAGCGGTGTACACCAGTAAGCAATGTATATATATATTTACATTGCCCCCAACAATCTGGGTCCTCATTTTACCTACCCCGGAAGGATGGAAGGCTGAGTCAACCTTGAGCCGGTGAGATTTGAACCGCTGACCTGCTGAACACAGTCAGCTAAAGTGGCCTGCAGTACTGCAGCCTAACTGCTGCGCCACCTCGGCTCTTGTTATTCAATTTCATTCTGCCCCAGAGCCAAGATAATTAGTTTCTTCCTGACATGAAGCTCTGGGGCGCAATGCCCCCCCTTGCAAGGCTTTGGCTGACTCCTCCCCCCCCTTGCTTTTCCCCAGGTTGGAACGAGTTGCTGATCGCCTCCTTCTCCCACCGATCCATCGCGGTCAAAGACGGGATCCTCCTGGCCACAGGCCTCCACGTCCACAGGAACAGTGCCCACAGTGCGGGAGTCGGGGCCATCTTTGACAGGTGAGGAGCAGCGGCTGGTGGGAGGGGCGCCCACGGCCTTGCCCGCTCCCCTCTTGTGCCCGGGACCCAGCCGTGGCCTTTGTGGCGAAGAACGAGACCACGACCGGCCCTTGGGATGCCGGAGGGTCTGCGAAATGCCCTCAGCCCCCCTGCAAAAGGGGCAGGGAAAGGCCGTTGGCTTCAAAGCAAGGCCAACTCACGCCACTTCCTCTCCTCTTTTTTTTTTTTTTTATTAAAAAGTTTTATAAATTTTACAGAAAATAAGAGACAATACAAAAACAAAAAAACAACATATACAAATAAAAAACAAACATTACCCAACAAAACCCCCCTTCCCCCACCCCTACCCAACCCCCCCCTTCCCCCCCCAGGACCTCCCAGAGCAAAATATAGGCTTAATTAAAAAAAAGTTAAAAAAATTTATAAAAAGAAGAATATAAAATAGAAAATATATATATATATAAAGTTAAAAATTATGAAAAAACTATATAGTATTTTTTTATATCAAATTTAAATTGTATGAATTTTATCCATTTATCCCAAACAGCAAGAAATTTCTCTTGCATTTGTCCCTTTAAGAAAGCCGAAATCTTTGCCATTTCCGCCAAATGAGACACTTTAAGAAACCATTCTTGCAATGTAGGCAAAGATTCCTTCTTCCAATATTGTCCTACTAACAGCCTCGCAGCTGTAATCAAGTTTAACATCAATATAACCTCCTTTGTATCACAATCAATAACTATACCTAACAAAAATAATTGTGGAGTAAATTTTACCCTCCTTTTAAAAATTCTCTGGATATTCCACCATAGCCACTTCCTCTCCTCTTGTGGCCCTGCAGGGTATTGACCGAACTTGTGTCGAAGATGCGAGACATGCAGATGGACAAGACCGAATTGGGGTGCCTGCGAGCGATTGTCCTCTTCAACCCAGGTGACTGAGCTCCCTCCTCCGCAAGGGAGGACAGGCAAGATCCCCCCACCCGCCCACCCTTTGGCAATCTGCCCTTCACCCAACACAAAACCGGCCCCAGAGCAGGGAGAAGGGGGCAGCCCTTTTGGCTGTGGCTGGGCGTCTTCTGTCAGCAGGACAGCCTTTCCTTGCTCCGACGCTGCGAGGAAAGGAGCATTCGTGAACAAGGAGATCTGAGCAGTTCCCACAACTGGCACTTGGCATTGCCATCATCAGTTGGCGTGGTCGTAAAGCGAGACGTCCTCTGACTGCACTAATGACAGCAGTCCTGGCACTCCCCATTGTGGTCGTTAACTGAGAATCGCAGGTCATTAAGTGAGTGCCCACCCAGTCCAAGCCGTTCCAGGCTCGATCCCTCTTGGCCCCCTCCCACCTCTGTAAGGCAAGGCACTGCCTCCCGCTGCCTGTCTCCCCCCCCACTTCTGCCTTTTGGCTTACAGGGCAGCCAGCGTGGCTCCGGGGCTGCCTGCCATGTCCTGGGAAGCCTCAGCAGGCCAGCAGGCCTGTGCCCACCTGGCTACCTTTGCTCCCCCTCCCTTGCCTGCCCTTTTGAGTCTGGAAGCCCCCCACCTGCCGAGGTGCCCTAATTCCGACTCTTTTGGCTTCTTTTTCATCGTGCAGTCAGGCTTAGGGGCCCTGGGAACCTCTCCCGGAGAGGGCCCTGGACATCTCTGTGGCTGGGAGTGCCCGCATGCCAGGCTGAGGGCTTCCCTCTACGTTGACCATCCAAGCGCTCTTCTGGGTTCAGCTTCAGAGCGCGAGAGCCTCCGGGAGCTTCCGTGGAGAGGTGCTGTCAGAGCGCATTAAGGCCAGGGAACTTTCCAAAACCAGGCCATTACGGCAGGAGACCTGCAGAAGGACCAGTTCGGCTGACAGCCTGGACGTTCAGCTCCTTGGGCCCTCTTAAGCTTTGGGGGGGAAATCCCACTGGATGGTGTTTGGGAAGAAGGCTTTTTGTAAGATGTGAGTGTCACATTAGATACGCGAAAGAGTTGAAGCATCTGAGAGAGTAACTGAATTTGTCAGGTTATGAAATCCTGACCAGTTGCGGAGCAACACGGAGCGGAACGGGCTGAGGTAGAACCAGGTTCCATCCAGATCATTTGGATGTTCTCTCGTGCGATCCCGTCTTGGCTCTCATGTCAGGTTCTCACCCACAAAACTCTCTCGGGCGGCCTCAACTTGGTCCTCGGTGCCCGCCGGGGCTGCTGTCCTCTCAAAGCAGAGACTGGGTTGCGTCTTACGGCTGCGGTGCCTGTTGCTAGACAGCCTGCGTTCCCTTCACATGGCCCTGACCTCCCTGGGGGGTCCTGAACGGTCTCAGGCTGTAAGCCTCCCCTCCTTCTCTCGCAGACTCAAAGGGCCTCTCCAACCCTGCTGAGGTCGAAGCACTGCGGGAAAAGGTCTACGCCTCGCTGGAGGCCTACTGCAAACAGAAGTACCCTGAGCAGCCAGGGAGGTGAGTCTCTTCTCGCTTGGGGTGTCTTTTGCACAGCCTTCTCATAAGCAGAGAGCCGGGTGCGAAATAACCTTGTGAGCAGGAGGACGGCCAGCGCTTGCTCGGTCTGGCACCAGCTCCCCGAATTCCTCTCGGCTCGCGTTCTGACCCCATTCCAGGATCAACCTAGGCAGGGCACGGGAATTTCCTGAATCTTGCAAGACGTTCATCTTCAGTGGGTGGTCTTTTTTTTTTTAACCAGAATCCCCCCCCCCATTTCCTCTGCACGATGAAATCAGAGGAACCGAACGGTAATTAACGACTGAGGCTGGACGGGGGCCAGGATCCCATTGCTGCTCTCCAGACTGGCTGCCTCCCAAGCTGGAGGCTGCTGCTGTGAGCCGGTTGACTCCGCTGGCCGAGAGGTTTGCCTTCTGAGCCCCCTGGAGGGCAGGAGCACGACTGGGCCCCCCCAGCCTCTCCGAGGAACTTGTGGCTGGGGAGGGAAGTCCCCTGCGCACAGCCAGAGAAGGAAAAATGCTCCCCGCCCCCAGCAATGGGTCAGTCTGCTCCCTGGGAACAGTTTCGCTATGGCCCATCTGGGCTTTGTGGTGCCAGGTCTTGTGAAGTGGACAGTTTCCCCTTAACCAAGATAGACCTGAGGCGTTTGCTGCTGGGGGGGGAGGTGTGTGTGTGTGGGGGGGCTGTTGGTGGCTGCTTTCCTTGGGAGATGGGGACAGTGACAGTCCCAGTGACAGGGACAGAGGAAACCAGCCAAGCCAACATCGGCCTCTCCGCCTTGCTCTTCTCTGGCCACTCTATGGGGATGTGACCATCCATGCAGCCACCCCGGTCCCCTCCCGGAACACACACACACCCCGTTTTCCTGCAATCTTTCAGCCAAATGATTCTTAAAAGCTGGTTGTTTCATAGTTGAAATGTTTCTGTACATCTGTCATCTGTTTTAGTTTAAATATGAAGCGTTTGAGCTTGAGGGAAGAGACTGGTAGGGCTGGGTTTGGATTTTCCTGGCCCTGCGCCCTCCCGCCCGCTCGACTTGCCAGCTCAGCATCTGAAGGAAATGCTAGTCAGGATGCAGCCCTCCCCGTTCTGCCCCCCCCCCCAGCCAGGAGTGCAGCAGCCCTCAGCCCTTGGAGCACTCTGGGGAGGAGCCCAGACCCCTCGTGGAGGTCCTGAAGGGAAGAGCAATGGGGCAGGAGGGACTGAGAACACCAGAGGGGCTGCTGGAAAGCGGATGCAGCCTGCTGGAGCCCACAGTCTCTCTCTGCGTGTGCTTGTGTGTTTGTTGTGGCATTTCCTGAATCAAAGGAAGCAGCAGTGAGATCTGGAAACGGGGGGGCCAAGGGCTTGGCCAGGGTGTTCTGGGAAGGGCGCACTGTCTCTCACGCGCCCTGGAGACGGTCATTTGCACGGTCACCTCTCTGCCTGGTCATTCAAGGGCCCTTAGCCGATCGACACGAAGCCAAACCCGTGTCCTGCACTTGGGCCACCCACTGAGCCAGGCACCAGGTTCATGAACAGAAGGTCTGCGCACACCCGGAATCCCAAACCAACCATCCACATCGTGGCTCACTGGGCAGGCTGGGTCATTCCACAGGCTAAAACCGGGACTGGGGCCCAACTGGCTCCCAGCCACAGGAGCCAGATGAACCACGCAATGGGAAAACGGTGGCCAAGGGGCCAGTGCAGCTGATTTTAACATTAAAGAGCCAGCTAGAAGGAGGGTAAAATTTACCCCACAATTGTTTTTGCTAGGTATTGTTACCGATTGTGATACTAAGGAGGTTATATTGATGTTAAATTTAATTACAGCCGCAAGGTTGTTAGTAGGGCAATATTGGAAGAAGGAATCTTTGCCTACTTTGCAAGAGTGGTTTTCTAAAGTATCTTATTTGGCGGAAATGGCAAAGATTTCGGCTTTTTTAAAGGATCAATCGCAAGAGAAGTTTTTTGTGGTATGGGAAAAATGGATATATTTTATACAACACAAGTTGGATATAAAAAAATATTACTTAGTTTTTCAATAACTTATATTTAATTTTAATATTTTATAGATTGTATTATTTTTTCTTTTTCTTTATATTTTTTATTATTACTTTATTTTCTTATATCTCTTTTCTTCTTTCTTTCTCCTTATTCTTTTTCTTTTTAAATATTTTTTTTCTCTTTTCTTTAATATTTATGGTTTCTTTATATATATATATTATTGTTAATCATTCTATTAGTTGTTTAAGTAATGTATTTAGACTTATCTATGGTTTATACTTTTTTTAAGAATTTAAGAAATTTTAATTAAGCCTATATTCAGCTCTGGGAAGGCTGAGGGAGGGAGTGGGAGGGTTGGGGTGGGTTGGGGAGGGTTGTTTTTTTCTTGTAAAAATTTTAAAAATTTTCAATAATAAAAAAAAACATTAAAGAGCCAGCAATAGAATGAAGAAAAGAACCATTAATTGCCAGAGAAGGAGGCTGCCTGGCGGGAGGCCCTTGAAAAGTCTCCTTCTGAACAGACAGGTGGGGGCTGTGGTGACGCCCCTCCCTCTCTTCTAGGTTCGCCAAGCTGCTGCTCCGCCTGCCCGCCCTCCGGTCCATTGGCCTGAAGTGCTTGGAGCACCTCTTCTTCTTCAAGCTCATAGGGGACACGCCCATCGACACCTTCCTGATGGAGATGCTGGAAGCGCCACACCAGATGACTTAAAGGACGCTGGGCCGGGCCAGCTGCTCTCCTCAGCCCAGGGGGCTGCCTGCCACTGGGACCTCCGCTCTGAGACCCATCCTGCTGCCACCTCCCCCCACCACCACCATGGAAGGGAGGCCGCCTGCCCCATCCATCCCCCACCACCCCACCCAGGAATGTTGGCCGGGCTGGCTTGGCCCTTTGCTGCTTCCGCAGCCAACCTGCGTCTGAGGACAACCAGCTTTTGCAGGTGGAGAATGGTTCGAAGAGCAACTGCTGCCTGCTTGCACTTGGGGCCCTGCCCCTCCTCCATCAAGGCTTTGGGTCCCCCCCCCAGGTGCAGAAGGCTGAATTTACTCCAACTCCCTTGAAGGGTTTCAGGATTCTGTGACGCCGCCTTTGTTTAAGAACAAGGGATTGTGGGACACAAGGCATGTGTTGCCGGAGGGCGTAGGAGAGGCCGGGAGGGCGGCCCGCTGCCCCCGTAGAGAGATGGCACTTCTGGAGCAAGGCTGCCTCCTCAAGCCAGGGTGGGCAGGGCTACCAGCCGGCCTTTGCGGCCCCTCGGCTGCCCCTGCTTGCTTATGTGGGCAGACAAGGAGGGCAGAGTGTCTTTGCTGACAGATGGCAGGCCGAGCCACCCTGCGCAGGCTCTGGGGCAAGAGACCCCTCCCCATTCTTGCACAGAGCAAGAGAGCCGCCCCCTTTTTACTGGGAGGGAAGGAGGGGGGTCTTCGGGGCTCACAGGGGAAGCTCTGGCTTGTTGGGGGTTGGTGGGCATCAGGCTGCCCTGGGCTGATGCTTTGCGAGCGCCAGCACCAAGGGGCAGAGGGCAGGCTCTCTTGGGGGCAGGGGGAATGCCCTGGCTGTCTTCCCAGGGTCAGAGAGACGTGGAGCAGGAATGGGGGAGAAGGGGGGGGGGCTCAAGTTGGGTGCCAAGGCAGAGTCTGCCCTCACTGGAGCCCCACATCTGCCCAGGCAACTGCAACGGACACTGCAGGTCTGTCATTGAGGGAGGGAGGCCTGTGGCCTCTGCAGGAGTCCCTGCCCTGCCCTGCTCTGCCTAGAAGAGGGGTCTGGGTAGCGAGGCCCACCCCCCACTCTGAAAATAAAAGCTTGTCTCCCTTTTCAGTTCACCCCAAAAAGCACTCAGAGCTGCTTCCTCTGGGCAGGTTCGGGTGCTGCCACGGCTTGGCCTGCTCCTCCGTCTCCTGATGCCCAAATCGGACCGTCCAAGTGCGGCTGGGGGCCCTTGGAGTTGGGGGCAGCGCGTTGAAGCCTGAGCCGCCGATCCCGGCTGCGCCCCCCCCACCGGCCGGGCACCGGGAGCGCTGGCGGCGGGGGGGGGGCTGAGCTAGGTCATCTGGCCTGCTGGAGGGAGGGAGGGGCCGGCGGGGACGCCCGTTTCCCGACGGACTTCAGGTCAGCTTCTCTCTCCCTTCGGCGGACCGGCTGCCGGGCTTCTTCGCTCGCCCTCGGTGCAGCGGTGGAGCCCCGCCCGGCCCTGCTCGGCGGCTTTGGCTGCTGGCGAGGAAGCGGCAGACTTTGCTCCGGCCGCGCTCCGCGGCTGTACGTCGAGGCTCCGTTTCCAGTTTCGGGGGAAGAAAGCGGAGGAGATGGAGGAAGCGCGGCTCACAGACTCCCCCCCCCCGGGACAGCCCAGCGAGCTTGCCGCGGGTGGCTGGGCGTCCCATCGGCGCTTGCTTGTCGCTTCTCCTCGCCCGCCCCCCCCCCCCAGTTGGTTACCCTGCCCGGGGGGGGTGAGGAAGCCGGGTCCCCCCAGGCGCGGGAGACGCAACCTTTTGAACGGGGGTTTTTCCTGACTAGGAAAAGCTCTGCCTTCAGGAGACAGCTTGGGGGGGGGGGAGTTGCCCCGTCCCCCCCCCGTGTTGCCAGACGAGGGATGCAGGCACGAAGCGGAGTCGTGTGGGGCGTCCCTGGGGGGCTGCAGCCTCCCCCCCCCAGGAGTTTCTGCTCCGGGGCAAGGGAGTGCGCGGGGGGGGGGTGTGTGTGTCGGTCTCCTACACTTGAGGTGGCGCGATGCGTGTGTGTGTATACTTGTATGTAGTGTAGATATATGCACTGTACAAATCTCCTCATTCACATATGCATAATAACCCACCCGCCTTTGAGGGTTCATTTTCTGCTCTCCGTTCTCCGACCTGCTTGCTCTCCCTACTTCGCTTGCTCCGGGGGAGCGGGCGTCCTGCCACCCCCCCCACCCCGGAGCCGATGGCAAAGAAGACTGGAGCTCTGTAACCGGAGCAAAGGGGGACGCATCTATTTTCAGATGCCGGAGCGCCCGGGGCGGGGAGGAAGGGGGGCGAGCCGGGGCTTAGCCATTCCCGGCCTTTAGACGAAGAGGCCCGCCGGAGCTTGTAGCTGAAGCAGGCGATAAAAGGAAAAGGTGGAGAGAGAGAGAGAAGGGGAGCGAAATATCTAAGTGTCAATAAAGCTAAATATCTATTTTTGTACAAATGTAATTTTATCCCTTACGTATGCTTAATTTGGGGAGGGGGACCGCTTTTATAGGATTTGTCCTAAATCTCTCGTTAATATGCTCAGCCTTAAGACCCCCTCTGCGAAGCAAAGGACAAGCTTTCTTTCGTGTTGCAATCTTAAGAAATCACTTTGCAGCGAAGGGATGTCCCTTCCCTCCCCCATCCGGAGACACGCAAAACACAGCAACGTCTGGTTGCGCCCCCTCCGAGAGTCTTCTTCTTGCAGCATTAGCTCTACTGTGAAACCACGGCCCTATGTTATTGTTCACTAAAAAAAAATAAAGCTAATTAATAAAAAAAAAATCTGCTGGAAATGCCAGTATTTTGATGAAATGTATTAGGGTTGTTTTTTTAAAAAAAAAGCTAAAAGGAAAATATACGAGCGTGTTAAAGCACCGGCGTTCTGGTTCTCTTTTCTTTCGGTCGTTCCGCGCTGGCTTAAATTTGCCCCTCGGGAACCCCGTTTCAGTGTGTGTCCCAAACTTGACCATTTTAAGGCATGTGGACCTCAACTCCCAGAATTCCACAGCCAGCAACGCTGGCTGTGGAATTCTGGGAATTGAAGTCCACATGCCTTAAAATGGTCAAGTTTGGGAAACACTTAGAGCGAAGTCCGAGAACGTCTGTATGACAGGACACGGGACCCTGACCTGGAAACGGCGTGGAGGGTGAAGCCTCAGACCTCGGCTGTCACTCTGCTTCCTGTTGCTGGTGGTGAGAGAGCGGCGGGGCGGGGGGGGGGGTCCGCTGCACCCAGTCAAGCGGCAACGGCTGGCCCTCCTTTTGATTGATGGAGAATGCGGGGGGGGGGGAACATAGCGGCTTCTTACTCGCTTGGCCTCCCCGGGGTTTTTTCTTTCGGGGACCTCTTTGCATTGTGCAGCGGGGGAAATGACTCCTTCCACAGAACCGGTTCAGGATGGCAGCCGATGCCCCCAGCAGCAAAGAGCCCGAATCCCCTCGAAAGCCTCTGCTTGACGGACTTCAGAGAAGGGGAGGGGGGTCGGCTGTGGGGCTTGCCTGTGTGTGGCGGTTGCAAGAGGTCCCTGGAAGGCCAGCACAGCTCCTTTGTTGGCCCAGACCTCAGAGCCCCCCCCACCAAGGAAGGGGAATCTGGGAAGGCAGAGAATTGGGTGCTGTACCTTTTCTCCTCACCAATACTCGATTGATGCAGTGGTTCTCAACCTTTCTAATGCCGCGACCCCATAATACAGTTCCCCATGTTGTGGTGACCCCCAACCACTTATACATCACCGGGTGCCAGGGGCGTGGCCAAAGAAAAGGGGGAAAAAATGGCGGACAGCCTTGTTTGGCGACCCCCGTGAAATGGTCGTTCGACCTCAAATGGGGTCCTGACCCACAGGTTGAGAACCACTGGATTGATGGATTACATACCTAGAACATAGACTCCCAGGGCTGGAAGGAACCTCGGAGGCCTTTCATCCAACCAGCCCGCTACTCGAGGCAGGAGCCTTATACCATCCCAGCCAAGTGGTTGCCCAGTCTATTTTTACAAACTTCCAGTGATGGAGCACTGGAAGGCTTCCTTCGTGTCTCCCCTCCACCCAATCTTCCTTCTCTTCCTTAGGCTACTAGTCCTACCTAGTTCCCTCACGCATTCATCCTCCTTTCCCACCTGGGCTCCATCTGGGGCTCCTCTGCCCAGCCGGTTGCAAAGGATCCGGGCATCTTGCAGCAAGCTAGGAAACTTTCAAGCTCACTACGGGGTGAGCCCAAAGCTCCTTTGGTCCCAGGCATTCCTGTCAGGAAGGAGAACCAGCTGGGCAGCACAACAGGTGTGTTGTTTTGCAACTGCTGGACCTTTCAAGGTTGCTGTTCCTCAGACAAGAACAGCTGGGCAGGGATGATTCTTGCTGCCACCCAAGCCCCCCCCCTAGTGCTTTAAACACTATTTCACAGCATGACAGTGTAAACATAGAAACTGAAATGATATATAAGATTTATAAAGCCTTTACAATATATGCAGAGGAACACAGAAGTGAATAAATTGGGATTTAATTAACAGATAAGTTTGTCTAGGATTGTAACCTAAACAGTAAATGACAAATATGTGCCAAGGAATTCAAAGTGGCAATTAGCAAAGAGGCAACAGTTCTGCACAAAGGATCCACTGGGTTGAGACCTCATATTTCCCCCTTTTTAGACAGCTGCACCACAAACTCCATTTCATGAAAAACCCCAACGCTGCAAAATGTGCTCTGGGCTGCTTTTCTCCATTTGAGATCCCCAATTTTTCTTCTTCTTGCACGCCATCCAGGCATCCTAGTACCTCACTAAGAATCAACCAAGAAAAAGATCACTATCCATTTTAGAAAAAAGAACCATGTAGAAACAAAGGAAATGAACTACAAATCCTTGCGGCCAGTTTGGAGTAATTGGATTGCAGCTGCTCAGTAAATCAATAAATGCAGTATCAAGAGACAGCATTTCCACTTCAAACATAAGACAAAGCCCCCCGGGCCGCCTTCCGGGATGAACAGGGCTCTTTAGCAGGGGTTGCCTTCGGGCAGGGTCTGGCAGAGTCCTCGGACGGAGCATGGAGATGGGGCGCAAAGCGGACAAGCAGGTCCTTCTAAGACAGTTCCCCAGACACATGGACTTCAACTCCCAGAATTCCCCAACTAGCCGTATGCTGGCTGGGGAATTCTGGGAGCTGAAGTGCACTCTTAAAATTGCCACGGCTGGGAAATGCTGAGAGCGATCAGTTGCAGCTGTGCTGGGATCTCTTTGGCCCCAGCCAGGGAGGGCGAGTGCCATCAGTTGGCGGAGAAGCGTTGGCTGTCACATTCACGCGTTTGACAACATTTAGACGTTCACCTGGCCCTGAGAACTTCACAGTACCGGCGTACAGTTTAGAAATACATTGTAAGTAACAATAACGTCCATTTCTATTTTTCCCTGCATTTCCCCCCCCCCCGGAAATGACCCATCCCCAGCCTCGCATCTTCCAAAGCGGCGAGGGGGGCGTCCCACGGAGCCCCACCTTCGTGCCACGGCCTCCCCTGGCATGGACGGCTGTAAGGAGGACGGGCCACCCGACGGCGGCCCTAAAAGGGGTGGCGCGTGGCCCCCGCCCGTCGCGGGGCCCAGTGTTCGTCCTCCGGGGGAAGAAATGCATCAAGAGCCCCAGGACCGCGGCTGCGCCTGGGCTGGCCCGAAGAGGGCCGCCGAGGGGGCAGGAGGGGAAGGGGCAGCCCGCAGCTGCAGCCCGCTGCCGACGGGACCCGAGGGCCCAGGTCGCCGCGCGCGCTCCAGCCCCGCCGGGCCGCCCTCCCCCCAACCGGCCGAGATTCCTTCGAGGCGGGCGAGGGAAGAAGGCGCCGGGGGCCCGGTGGAAGCCGAGCAGCCCAGGAGGCGGTGGCGGGCACGGCGAGCGACGGGCCGCGTGGGAAGCGCGGAGCCTTCCCTGCCCGCGATGGGGACGCCGTCCGTCCGTCCAGGGGAGCACCGTGGGGAAGACCTCCCCCCCCCCCGCGGGGACCCCGAGAGCAGGGCGGGCGCCGCCCAGCCCGGCAGCGAGCGCGCCTTCCAGGGCGGCCCTCTGCTGCCCCCCGGCGCTCCTGCACCGCATCTCGCCGGCCAGGAGGGAGGGGCGGGCGGAGCCAGAGGTCCCGCCCCCCGGAGGAAGGCGGGGCCTGAGCGGGCAGTGGCGTCATGGAGGGCGGGGCAGCCGCAGGAGAGGCCCCGCCTCAGGAAGGGGAGGCGGGGCAGCTCCTTCACCCTCCCCCCGCGATGCCCCCTCCCGGGCGGGCTTTTGGTAGCTGCAGCCCCTCCGGCGGCCCCCCCCCCCGCGCGGGCTGCCCAGCCCCCCCCCCCCCCCCGAAAGCGGCGCCGCGTCCCGCCCAACCTGAGCGTTGCTGCCTGGCCGGAGGCCGGCAAGGAGAGGTCGGCCGGCCGCTTGCCGCAAGGGCGGCAGAGGGAGCCCGTCCTCCACGCCGCGCGCCCTGGCCCAGCGCGGGCTGCTCTTCCCCAGCCTGCTCGCGCCTGGCTCCCGGAGAGGCTGCCCGCAGCGGAGGAGCCCGCCCGGCCACCCGGCTCCCCTTCCCCGGCGCCCGGCCCGCCTTCGAGTGCTGCACCGGGAGAGGGGAGGAGCGGGACGCCCCCATTCAGGGCTCGCGCACCGCAGCTGCCTCGGCTGCCCAACGTCTGAAGCGCGGTCGGGCCACGCGTGGCGCAAAGGAAGAGGAAGCCCCCCCGAGGGCGCCCTTTCCTCTGCGGGCAGAGCCGCGTCTCATCTCCACGAGGAGGGGGGGGGTCACCTGCCTGTCTCGGGGTGCAGCCAGCCCGACGGCAGGCTGAAGGGCCCCGGAACGGAGCGGGGCGACTCCTGGTGTGCTCAGCCTTCGGCGACCCGTTCGCTGCCTTCTGGGCGTCCCTCCTGGGGCTGTTTCTGCACTGCGGTCCCAGTTCTGTCGTCTGAATTGCGCGAAGCACTTGCAAAGGAGAGGCCTTCAAACGTGCAAGGGTGTAAATCTTCTGGGGGTGGTGGGAGCGGTTCCCCTTCCTCAACCTGGCCCGGTGGGCCCCAGATTGCAAGGGGGAAGATGCTTCTGTCTCCACGGTTCTGCCTGGGGAAGGTTGTCTCCGTGCAGGGCTGGAGCGGACTCTCTTGCTTCTGGTGGGACCCCTAAATCTTGCAAGATGTGGGAGCTTCTATCTAGAGCAGCGGTTCTCCACCTGTGGGTCGGGACCCCATTTGGGATCAAACGACCATTTCACGGGGGTCGCCAAACAACGCAGTCTGTCATTTTTTCCCCCTTTTCCTTAGCTGTGCTCCCCCCTTTTATTCTATTGGCTTTCGAAAGCCAATAGAAGAGACTCTCTTGAATGGAGTCTAATTCTATTCGCTTTCAAAAGCCAGTAGGAATTGTCCAGGCTGTCTCTGCCCTGCTGAGCCCGCCAAAAGTCCCATTCTGCAAACGGTGCTGCACCAGTTGAGTACGACCGGTTGAGTAGTCCTTAACTTACAACCGGTTGGGGGTCGCGGCATTAAAAAGGTTGAGAACCACTGCTCTAGAGCAATTCATCTAGTAGGACAGAATCCGAAGGTTGCTTTCCCTTTTTAAGGGAGAAACAGGCTGCTGTTAACCAGAAGAACATTTAATTCAGTTCAAACTGCAGGGACTTGCTCCTGGAGGAGTGTCACAAATGGCCGGGTCAACATTTGCCCAAGAAAGGCAGCTAATAAAAGCAGCACTTTGCTTGAGTCTGGTTTTGGTTTCTTATTTTAATCTGTGGTTACATTAAATTCTTTTCTTGTTTCATATGCAATTTTTTGTGAGCTTTCTGGAGCATCTTAATAACTGAAAGATGGAATGAAAATGTTTGATAAATCAAACAAATGCTGAAATTCTCCACAAACCACAAAGTGCTT